GAAACGACGCGAGCGATCGGATCAGATAGCGTTACACAGAGTCAGAGCGGCGTCACCTTCTACCTTTCCCTCCCTCGCTCCTTCCTCATCACCGTTGGTATCCTCCGATCCAGCACGCGTATTTGTAGTTTTGTACTTGGCCTCCTCGCCTCTTTGACCTCTCAAACGCCCTCCCTGCCAGCCACAGACAAAAGGCGCTTCCATCCACCAGGAGATGCTTGCCTTCCAAACTCTCCCACCCGTGATCTGTTCCATCCCAAGGAGGAAAGAGGCCATTTGATCAGGATAAAGGGATGCAAGCGTGGGTCTGCGCAAGGCAGGAAAGGGGATTGGTCTCACCTTTCTCTCCTAGGGCCTCACGGCGCTTCTCCTCGTGCTTGAGACGCTGGATGAGGAAGGAAAGGAGACCCGGAACCCCCATCCTTGGCGGGCCCCGCGAAAGGCGCCTTCCAAAGGCGACTTAAGCCACGTGTGCTCTTCTAATGCGCGATTTCCAGCCTTCAACTTGCTTATCTTCGTCTTTGTTGAGATACGGAGAGTTCCGCTAGTGTCCTTTACAAACGGCCGTGAAGCCTCAAGATCTATTCAGTGCTCAAATGCACTTCGGTCAATGCTTGTTCACGACTTTTCTCCACAGCATAACTTTTCTCTCCAGAGCACGATACATGAGCAGCTATCCCCTCCCCTCCTCCTGTGTAGCACTAGCAAGCAATTTAGCTAGGCAGGTAGGGGCAGGAGGTTTGGAAACACTGCTACTATGCAGCGCCGGCGACGCCAAGACGACAAGCGCGGCTTGACAAATAAGTTGCGAAGAGATTTTATTCAATGTCTGTATGCGTGTGTTGTATGGTTGGCCCGCGTGCCCGTGCATGGAGTGAGCGTGTGGGACTTGGGAAGGCGTTACTGAGAGAGGGCAGACGTCGCTGACGAGGATAAGCGAGGATCATAACCGAGGCCGCTGCCCAAACATTTGGTCAAAGGCACGCAAGGCAGAAAGGGAGAGGAGGGACGAAAGACGTGCTAGTCTCACTTCGACATCAGAACCGAACATGGATGTCGATTCCAAGATATTGTCCAATTGTTTGCTTTGGGACAAAGGGGGATACGACTTCATTCTCGCCGCGTATCTACATTGTATCTCCATTTCTTTGTCTTCTCTTGCTTCATCTTCGAGTATTAGCATGTCACCTGATGGTTGTTGAATCGGACATGTAGAGTGCAAGTCTTTGAATTTACTGTTCTTGTGCCCCCCCTATTCAAGCACGTAACTTTCAATTTTTACTTGGTTATCTCCGCGAGTTCATTTCGTGGTCTTCCAGGATACGACACACTAAGTGATATAAACATGCACTCTTCTATTTTCTGCGTTGAATTATCCTCTTTTTCACGTCTTAAACATCTTTGAATCCCGTGCCGAAGACAGACCTACAGATAATGATAGGTTTATATCGTTTTTTCTCACTTATTTGCCAAATCTCCCGCAAATTTGTAGTTTGCACCCTTTAGATTGCATTAGAGTGGCTTCATAGAATTATGTACTTGAGACCAATAAATTATTGAAGTTGGTCAATCCTTACCGTTTCCTCAATGTAGAACAAAAGAAGACTGCCACAGCAGTCCCCCGAGGGAAAAAGCTTACCCATCTCAGCTATTGAGTCGGAATGAGAGATTGTCATATGACGCCTTCTTTTCACATTTTTTGTATGTTCATTTTTTCAATGAGCATGTTGTGAGAGTTGTTGTTCTCTTGACATGGAGAGACGCTATGTTACTTTCTCAATATCAGGACACCCTTCTTGTTTGAAAAAATCCAAGCCTCATGCGCGAAGCGTTTGACACAGGGAACCAGGAAATTCAATAGACATGACCATGACATAATCTTGCCAATCAGTGTTAATCTTGTTACTTTTTTGCAGTCAATGCATTTCTTTGCGCGGTGGATTTGATTGCTCAGCTTGCACCGGATAATTTCTTCCCCAAAAAGGTGTACAATAAGACGATTTTCCTCACCACGTATTTACCATGTATCTGCCTGGCAATGATGGAGTCTCGAAAATCGGGAACCTCCCTTTATCAAACCTATTCGGTTGTATTTGTTGGTTCCATTCGGGCCCACTCCACTTTTCCCCCACTCCTCGGAGTACCGGATAAGTCAGTAAGAGTTTCTCAGCTCTATATTCAGCCCCACTTCTCACCTCAAACGCAAGTGCATCGCAGTATGTACCTTTTACTGCATGTTCGAGAGGCATTTGAAAGTGAAGGTCACGGGTTTCCCGTAATCTGATACCAATGACCGCACTTTTGCCCTCACCCCCTTGTTGCAGCCATGTTGAGCCCAGCGCAAGCCCCATAAACACCGAGAGGACTGGCAGCGTAAGAAAATAACCTTGTCACGCATCCGCTTTCCTGGTCACGAGCACGGTCATTGACCGGTTGACCGGTGTCCAAGAAATGGAATTGAGTACTGTTGCGTGCGACGGACAAGGTTGTGCTTGTGCCGCATTTTACGAGGCTTGCGCTTCGACCGTGAGGAATGACGGTATTTGCATTTGCAGATATGCCGTGCGGGGGCGGGGAAAAATGTTTTCGTCATATACGCTCACACGCACGACATTCAGATCGAATGTTTGCTAGAGCTGGTCGGGGAAGAAGCGCTTTTTTTTTCATTTCACAATGTTCGTCTTTATCTCCCAGCATGCCAGATACGGACGAAACTTTGGCTGTAGTGGCAGGGTTATTGTTGCGAGTAAGGTGAGTTTAAGGGCGGCACCAGTATCGCCGGTAATAATCTCCCTGATCTACTAATGGCGTCACGCCCTTTTCAACTCGTTGACTCTATTCATGTACAGGGAGGACAAAAATATCGGCACGTCAACATATGGTAAAGCAAATACCACACCGGAGGCACATAATGAATGCGTGGAAAAAGTTGTCGCCCGCCAAGATGTAAGTGGAATGCCCAGCCCTCAGGGACATATCTGTTAGCGTGCCCTGAGACTCAAATACGCAGTGCTGCTTATTATGAACAGTGCCTGCCAACCACCGATGCTAGCGGCAGGACAAGTGATGTGCATCATGCACCGAGAGCGCAGCAGAGCGCGGGCGCGGAAAGTAGCAGAGGTGAGATCTTTAGAATACATGTGTCCGAGCTCGGTGTCACTGCCGAGGAGACTGGACGGCACGCCTGTGTCTGGCGTGAGCCTGGGAAAGGATTCTACATATATATATATATATATAGAGAGAGAGAGGAAGACATATCAATGTAAATTGTGGGTTTTGCTGGGGCCGCCACTCAAAGTCACCTTTCCTCGCTTTCCCTCCTATGCCCCCTCCCCCTTCGACAGCCCCGTCCAAGCAACCGCCCCCCCGCGCCACGGACTCGACAACGACGACGCTCGCCCCATTGGGAAAGAAAAAGCGGGGTCGACCAAAGGCCTCGCGAATGTTGAGGGAAGAGAGAGGCTTGCCCCGGAAGCGGAGGCTGGGCCCGACCGTGGGCTCGGGAAAGGAAGGAGGGGGGAGTACAACGGGTGACAAGGGAGAGCAAAAGGATCCCTCAGGCAAAGCATTGGAAGAGAGGGTGGTAGCACGCT